ATAATAGTCTGGGGACTATTTTGGCACTTTGCTCCAATTTTATTTCTCTAAATGATATTTTGGTCCCTTAAAGTAATTTATTTTTAATTACTAAAATTGTCATCACAAGCTATATTATTCTTTCTTCAAGAACTAGATGAGATGCAATAGAATTTATAAAATATGTGCATTTGAGGATTAATTGAATAGACATTAGATGAGAAATCAATGATTGCATAAGGCGCTCAACGCTTCTGTTGGGAAGAAAATGAGGTTTACTTTATATTTTTAGTTAGTGTTACAAATTATGCAAAAGCTAGCTTTATTTATTGAGCTCTTATAAGTGTTTACTAAGCTTTTGAATTAACATTTAGGAGTACGGATTGAGTAATCTATTCACATCTAAGATGTATTTTTAGTATTTGTGGATATGCATCCATTATAGAGATTGAGTATGGATTTGTGGTAGGTGAGCAGGTGGAAGACAGCAGTTAGAAAATATTAGGTAGAGAATAATTTATGGATTTAATTTTTCATGCGTTCCTTGTGCAGTTGCATATGGCCCATTATGGTGTTGCGAGAAGCACTTGGAGATGTGATAAAGCACAATTGAGAGTGTTTAAAAGAGGAGAGGTGGAGAAATATGTGCATGTTTTGGGGTGTTTTTTTTTTTTGTTGTGAGTCTTTCTCTCTTTTTGTCCTTGTATATCGGCTTTTTTGTGAGGCGAAGAAGAGAGTTTGGGATTAGATTGACGAAAAGGAGGATAGCTGTGACATTAGATTGCTACCCTCACTATTTGGACAAAATTGTTTTCACAATTTCCTTGTTCTCATCTAGAGCTGGGCTATAAAAAAATCTCGTTTGTTGAGTACAACTTGTGTTTGACTCGTTAAGTAGCTTGTGTTCGAATCATTCGTTAAGTGAGCTGAACATGAATAAATTTTTTATGCTCGAATTATAAACCAGCCGAACACGAACAATCTTTTAATCGATTATGTTCTATTCGTTTTAGCTTGAAATAAATGATATATATATATATATATATATATGTATATATATATATATGCGAATATCAAAGGCGTCGACAGCGGCATCGGTGTCTGCTCGCTCCTTGGCGATTCCCGGCGGTGATTCATTGATTTCTCATTTCTCTCCGTCGTCTCCCGTTGTCTCCCGCGATGAAGTTTCACGCTCTCGCAGACGTCCACCAGTCGACGAGCCACGACACGCGCACTCACCTGCTCTCGACCACGCTCGCAACTCTCGTACTCCACGACGC